CACACTCACACACAACCGCTCAGTAAGACTTGTAATGTTTTTAAAGAAGTCTCTTCTGCTCATCAAGACTGCATTTATTTGATCAGAAATACAGAAAAAAACTGTAATCTTGCAAAATGTTCTTACAATATAAAATAATGGCTTCTATTTGAATATCCTTTAAAATATAATTTATTTCTGTGATGCAAAGCTGAATTTCCATCATCATTACTCCAGTCTTCAGTGTCAGAAATCAGTCTAATATGCTGATTTATTATTAGAATTATCAACAGTTGTGTTTTTTGGAAACTGCGATACTTTTTTCAGGATTCTTTGATGAATACAAAGTTAAAAAGAAGAACATTTATTTAAAATAGAACTCTTTGCTATCACTTCTTAACAATTTAACACATCCTCGCTGAATAACAGTTTAAATTTCTTTCAATAAAAGAAAGAATATAAATGTACTGACCCCAAACTTTTGAACGGTAGTGTATATTGTTAGAAAAGATTTCTATTTTAAATAAATGCTCTTCTTTTTAACTTTTTATTCATTAAAGAATCCTGAAAAAAGTATCGCAGTTTCCAAAAAACACAACTGTTGATAATTCTAATAATAAATCCGCATATTAGACTTATTTCTGACACTGAAGACTGGAGTAATGATGCTGATGGAAATTCAGCTTTGCATCACAGAAATAAATTCTATTTTAAAGGATATTAAAATAGAAACCATTATTTTATATTGTAATAACATTTTGCAAGATTACAGTTTTTTTCAGTATTTTTGATCAAATAAATGCAGCCGTGATGAGCAGAAGACACTTCTTTTAAAAACATTACAACTCTCACTGATCCCAAACTTTGAGTGGTAGTGTGTGCCCTGCACAGTGCTGCGTAGTAACTGATTACATGTAATCAGATTACAAAAATTAAGTACTTGTAATTAGATTACATTACATTTTAAAATGCACATAATCAGATTACAGGTTTTATATTTTACGGATTACATGATTACATATTACGCACACAATGGCAGTAAATCATTCATAGTTAATTGATTCTGCCTAATTCTTTTTTTTTCTCTTTTAAATTTCCTTACTTGTCAGCCAAACTTTCTAAAAATTTCGGAATATTCCCAAAAATCCTGGAATATTTCCAAAATTGACTGGAAATGTTCCACCTTTTTGCAACCCTAATGGTCACACTGACATGCAGCCCAGCTAAACATAACATAAAAAAATTAATATTAAAATTTTTAGTACATTTTTGTTATTTAATTAATTATTAATTTTTTATCACCTCAGTCAAACCCACTGCAGTTCTTACATTAATCCCAGTTTGGGAAACCCTGGTGTAATGTAATTTTTAATGCATTTTATGTTGTTGATATCAAAAAAATTGAATATATTTTCTTTTTCCTTGCTTTTTTTAAATATCAATTCGGTATGTGTAATGGTAAGTAAAAAACAAGTTTGATAAAAAAAAGTATTCTAAAAGTAATTTCAGCTCGTTGCTAAATAAAATTAAATAAAATTAAATTTCAGCTTGTTGCTAAGGCAACATTTCCTATTTTTCGGTTTATTTTTAGTACTAAAACTGATAAATATTATAGACATAAAAACAACAAAAATTACAAAAACACAAAAAATACTAACATTTGAAGCAAAATTAAACTGAAAACACAATTCAAAAATAAAATATAATTCTAAATATAAACAAAAACGCATAGTATATCATACATGCTACTTAAACGATACTGCTCAGAATCTCTTGCTGGATAATTAGATGCTCAGAGTCACCTGGATAGTGAGGTAAGAGGCGATGACGCCCCAGTCATGCTTGCACTCGGCACAGAGCATCTTCTCTTTCTTACAGAAGCCAGAGAAGGCTCTTGGGTTCCTATGGGGAGCAGTTGTACAGCGCTTGAACATGGAGCGATCCAGAACGATGTGATGAGAGCCCTGCGGAACAGACAGCATGAGAAACATGAGAGAAAGAGAAATTAACTTAGCGATGGTTCAAAATGAACACTTTCCTAGAAAATCTGTGAGAACCAATAGAGATTCCCAAACTCTTTCCCCATTGACTTAATATCTTTTTTTTTAAAAACCCTGAGATTTTAGGAGAACATTTACATATAAATGTTTTTTTTGCATTTTTGAGCTTATAATTTGCAGTTGTGAGTTATAAATGCTTAATTCTGAGAAAAAAGTCGGAAATGTGAGAGATAAACTAAATTTAGAGTTGTAAGATATAAAAAAAAATTCTCGATGACCTTTTTATTGTTTAAAAAAAAAATTAGTTTCTTCCCAATTTTTTACTCTAATTATAAACTAGATAGTAAAATATGTAGACAAACTTTAATGCTGGCTTGAGAAATCCTAGTCAGAAGAGGCTTAAAAAGCTTGGCATTTGAAGGTTTTAAGTATTTTTTAAGTTTGAAGTGGTTTAAAAGGCCTGGAGTTTAAAGGTTTTTAAGTATTTTTGAGTTTTAAGTAGTTTGAAAAGCTTGACAGTTAAGTATTTTTAAATTTGGAATAGTGGGAA